GGTCCAGCGTCCCATAGATACAACCATATCCTCTCAAATTGGCACGAGCTGGGAACCGGGCCCAGCATCCCTTGAGTACGTTCAGAAAAGGGGCTCTGACAAATCATTGACTGTGTCTCCCTAAACTGTCAGCGTTGCGTTCAGTGTGACGAGTATGGATGATTGTGTTCTCCTAGATTTTCTAATCGTTAGACCTACCGGTCACGGTTGTTTGGGTTTGATAAGTAGGGTTGTGATCATTCTTACTTAGGGTTTGGTGTCGTGGTGATTGCTGAGAAGTGTGACTCTCCGATTCACCTATACTGTGACGACCTTGCAATGAATCTTAGTTAGGATTTGTTGTCGGTGAATTTTTGTGCTGGCTTGATCGCTGTGTTTGCCTTCCCGTTGGGTTGTTGGTCGTTAGGTTTGCTGATAGCCTTTGAGCTGTGGGCCGTAGTTGGCTCGTTGGTAAAATTGCTGTTCGTTTCAATGGTGCTTGACTGCTGGGTCTCCGGGTTTTGCTTTGCATTTGCTACCTTGGCTAGTTGGGCGTATGTACTGTTAGCTCTGATTAACAGCTCTGGTTCCTGCTGCGCAGTTAGTAGTTAGTAGTTAGGGCATTTTTTTTGCTGTTATTTCTGGGTTCAGTTGAAGCGCTCCAATCTACTTTTGTTAGTTAGGAGGTTAATGTCGTTTTGGATTGGATGGATAATTGCCCGTTGGTTGATTGGTGCTAATCTGGAGTCCGCTTAACCTGCTTGGAATGGGTGATAGTAATCAGGGTATTGGTTCATGATGCTGGTCCTGGTAGGATTTGAGTTTTGTTAAATTAGAGAACGCAAATTTTGTTTTAGGGTTGGGATTGGGATTACCGGTTTTGGTAACCTTGGTTGGTAGGGAAGGGAGTACGACCAAGGTTACGAAAATTAGAGAACGCAAATTTTGTTTTAGGGTCGAGTTTGGGGTTGTTTGATAATGGTGGTTTGAGGATTTGACTTTTGTTAATTAGGGAACATGAATTTCGTTTTAGGGTTGGGATTGGGAATATCGATCTCGTGACCTTGTGAGGCTGTGGTGGGGATAGGTTTGGCCGGGAGTGCCTTACTTGGCCCATTTGACCGCAGCAAATTATGTAAGGGACACCGGGCCCGTTTCCCGGCTATATGAATATGGTTTTACAAAGTAAAGTTTAAAAAAAAAAAAAAAAAAAAAAAAAAAAAAYCCTTMCMAWTTTTTAAMCTTTTTTTTTTTTTTTTTTTCCTTTTATTTTTGGCCCGGCCGGGCAAGTGGTTCCGAGCCACTCTGGTGGTGCCTAGGTGTAGAATGTTTTTGACCACCTCGTGGCTTTAGAAGGATACCTAAAATTTTCCACACCCTACAGTAAGGTCCTTGGATGGTAGGGAAGGGAGTATGACCGAACACAACCAAGTCATGAACGGCACCTCAGATCAAATCACATCATCGCCAAACGCGACCAGAAATATGTGAGAAGCAGTTCTCGAAGAAATCTCCAAAAGAATTTCAAAGAAGTTACAAGCCGAGATTCAAAGCTCGGTCATGCTCGCCGAGGCGACCCATGTCCGACGTGTCATAAACTCCTCCCTCGCCGCAGAACTACGTGAAGGGCCGAACGACGGAGTAAACTGGTGATCCCCTACTAGTTTCCGCCACAGCCAATAAACGGCCTCATCTGGGGAACTTTAAGATGCTTGAATGGTTGGCCTACTACCGTCTTCAACCGAATAGAATGGCCTGTAATTATCGCCATATCTGGCCTGAAAGTTGTGCCAAATACAGCTATAATGACCGGGCGTTCTATTCGGGTGAAGACTAGTTATTTATTCTACTACTAACCCTCACGATTAGAGACTAATCCCACTTCACCCGAATACACCGTACGGTCATTATCGCTGTACTATCTAGACTGAAAGATGCCTCAAATGCAGCTATAATGACCGTACTTTGTATTCGGGGGACGAAGGTAATCCCACTTCACCCGCGCAGTTCCAGGTCCCGTTCTATTCGCATCCTTCACATAGATCCAAGTCCCATGTATTCCCGGACGTTCCCGGCGTCAATTCTTATTTCTCTGTCGTTTCGCAAATACCCACATTCCACCGACCGGTTCAGTCGCGACCTCCACAACTTGAAGTCGCAGTCCAGAATTCCGCCTATCGGCCCAGGTTCGGAGCCCGGCCCCCCCCGCCCCCGGACTGCTGAAAAGATACTCCTATCTACACAAGTCCAAGGATCGAAACCCTTCCTTTCCCATACCTTTATCCTCCCCACCCCCCCCGGAGCCTTTCTGCCCAACCCTCCCACGAGGGAGCTCGCTTTAGCACAAACTTCGAAAGACACTTGTTAAAACAAAAAAAAAAAAAACAAAAAAAAATCCAACCTGGGTAACCTTGCAGACGAAGCTGCCGCTTCAAGGTAAGGAGACTCAGCCCGATTAACTCCAAAAAAAGTGAGGGGACTGTGTTTTCAACTGTAAGGACATTTCCTCTGGTGTTTTGTGAACGGCCCAAGTTCGGAGCACGATGAACTCCAAAAAAATCACCACTGGGCGAATGGCCTTTCGTAAAAAAAAAAAAGGTGTTTCATAATAAAAGGTACCAAAACAACCGTTACGTCCACATCCACAAGTTCTAGGGTGTTTTAAATTGGCACCCACCATGCAACCACCCCTCACCCTCAAAATTGGGATGAGGTAACAAAACAATGGCCATGACCTTAGAATCTGGGGTGAAGTTGCTAAGCAATGAACATGTACAAGTTCTAGGGTACTCTTGTACTTTCTTTCTTTCTTTCTTTCTTTCCTTTCTTTTTTTTCTTTTGCTTTTTTTTTTTTTTTTTTTTTTTTTTTTTTTTTTTTTAAGTTCTAGGGTACTCTTTCTCTAACACAATATCCTTTCTGAAGCAGAAGCAGGGTAGTTGGCCCGGCTGAAAACAGCATTCTAGGATACAACACAGCATCCTAGAATCTGTGGTGTACATGGGATGCTGGACCCGGTATCCAGCAGGTGTAACTCCCCACCAATAAATTGGAGCCATCAGCGGGGCAGGTACTACTGGGGGATGCTTGCATCACTGTCAGCAGTACCAAAAGCAGATCTTAAAAAAATTAAAAAAAAATAAAAAAATAAAATAAAATAAAAATAAAAAATAAAAAAATAAATCTCGATCATGTGTACCTTCATGCCTGGCGGTAAAAATAAACCGGACTGACGACCCCCAAGAATAGAAGGGTGCTTGAGTTGTTTGTTAAAAAAAAAAAAAAAAAACATTACCGCCCGAAGTACAGCCCATCACCCTAGAATATGAGATGAACTTCTGAATCAACGGCCATTGCCTTGCCACCACCTGCCGTCTTCCCACGAACACATCGCACCCTCGTTATGGCTGTACTGTACTGGAAGCGAAACTTTATATACACTCGTCATCAGGGTGTGTTATGTTCGGGGGAGGACGGCAGTGCAGTGCATAAACGTCAAGCATAGTCCGTTGATTTGGGGGAATACACATCCTATTTCGTCTATGTTACACAAGGCAAGATGGAGCAGGTCAGCGTTGAGGGGTCCCCTGAGTGGGGGAACAGGGAAGGGCACACAGTCTGCTTGCCATTTTAGAACCTTGCTTCCCTTGTTCTCCCCACCCCACCCCTCCAACACCCCTGTGAGGTGCAAAGCCTACACAAGCATAAAGAGACGAAGGAACATGTGAAGAGCACAGTGCACAAGGCCACACACATCTTTGATTGAGAAGGTGATAACTGCAGGTAGGAATACCTGACGGCAACCCCCCCCCATGGAGTCAAAGAGAGAGAGAGAGAGAGAGAGAGAGAGAGAGAGAGAGAGAGAGAGAGAGAGAGCATCTGTCTTTGCTGAGAGGTGGTGCCGTTGTCGGATTCCTCAGAAGTCCAGAGGTGAAGAAGACTCAGGTCTCCCACAAAGCAGCCTGGCAGCACTCTTTGACCCTGATGCACTTTGTGTCTGGTGCCCATCTGCAAGTCCTCCTGTCCCCGCATCTGCAGGGGCCAAATGCAACCTTTCTAACACCAGCTTCTTGCGCCTCACAATCTTCATGGCGTAAGTTGTGGTTTCAGGAAGTTGTGCTACCTGCCAAGCCCACACTCATACACACAGGCACACGTACCCAACCCCCCCCCAACCCCGAACACACACACACACACACACACACACACACACACACACACACACACACACACAATCATTTTTTTGTGAATGCATGGATTTCCACTTTCTGCATTTTTCTAAGTACTTCGTGTGTGTCGGAGCGAGCACCTTTAGGAAGTGCTAAACAGTCGGTGGTCGGTTGTTTGGGTGCCTAGAGGACTCTTGGGGTGGGGGCAGGCACAGTCTGTCTGTGATGTCTGTGGTGCAAATGGTCTATGGGTGATGATAGACATCTGCTGGAGTGCCTTCCTGTCTCAGCAGGTAGTGGGACCAACAGTCTGCAGGTTTCTTCTTGTGGTGTGAGTAGGTCTTTGATGGCTTTGCTCCATGTTGGATGTGTGGACTGCCTTGTCTATGCTCCGCTGCTGCCTTGCTTCGCATTCCGCCTGCTCGTCATGTTGTCCTTTGGAGCTGGTGTGTTGCTGAGTGGTTTGCCTGCATTGTTCGTGTTGCGCTGTGCTTCGCTGCATGGTTGTCTGCTGCCCATCCACGTGCCTTGTCTTCCCATGCGTTTTGCTTGTGTGCCGTGCAGTCTTCCCGCTTTGCAGTGCGCTGCTCTGCACGTTTGTTGTGTCCGCTTGTTTGCACTGTCGTTCCATGCCAAGTTAGCTTTTCAACACTTTGCAGTTGGGTTTCCCCAGCAGTCTTGCCTTGTGCTTCACTTTGCTGTCTGGCCTGCTGCTATCTTCCGCTTGTCGTGTTGCTTGCTGTCAATCTGCTTTCAACAGCGGTCAAAGGGTGCATGACCCAACACATCAACATGGTGGTTGTATAGATTGTCGAGGGTCAGCCTCGTGATGAGTTGGTGCAATTTCGATGAAACAATCAGTCTTTTATGTTTTTCAGGTCTTTGGCTTTTGCCCCACTGCCGTTTCTTTTTCTACTCGTGTTGTCTGTCTTCCTGCCCACCTCCCCCATGCCCTTTTGTGGTTGCTTGTTGCTATTTGCCTCACCGCCTCTTCCTTTGCTGCTTTGTCTGTCTGCCCCCAACCCTCCCCCATCCCCTCGAACCTATGTTCCTTGCTGCGATTTGATTGTTTACTGCCTTGTTGCCTTACGCCATTTGCCTTGCCAGTCTTTTTTTTTTTTTTTTTGCGTTGCTGCTCTCTTTCAGAAAGCAGAATAGGGATTAGTAGTATTGATAAGGGTAGGCAGAATTGACTAAAACACAACAACAGTTAGTAGCGATTTAGTATACTACTCCCTGACAGTCCCAAACTCAAATTTCGCCAGTGTTGACATCAACAGAAATTACCCCAGATATGGCGAATTTCAGTAATGCACTGTAATGACCCAAATACAATGTTTCTGGACTAGCGCTTTAGCAGGGTTGCTAAAAATAGAATTGTGATTCACCCTAGACTGACAGACTTGAATTCTGACGGTCAGATTTTGAGTTGTGACTGACCCTAGGTAGCCTAGACTATAAATAGACTCATCGCAAAACTCAAATCCACAGTATCACTGTCTTTTCGGTACAGAATTCACAAAATGAACATACAGGATGCAGCGCAATACTRTAAAGCAGTCCCAKAACAATTTGGAGTCAGAACAGGTCAGTAGATGAAGAGATATGAGTCAGGGTAGGGAGGAAGAAGATGGATATGGTTGTCCTGCAGTCTGACAATTTCACGATTGTTGCAGTACTGACAGACAGACCATCAATCCTATCTTTACTAATCCTATACTAATCGCTACTCAGGGATTCATGTGGAACGAACTCACTTGAAGTACAGCCCTCAGTGGATGATGAAGCTTTGGCTATGGCTGCCAAACCCTGGTCTCGCCAGTACTTGCAGACAGTCTTCCACAGCTTCCCACGTACAGAATCTCCTGAAACTTGTTGATCGTGTCCAGTATGATGAGKCGATTCACCCCCAACTCTCAGATCCACTGAATCTGCCCCAGTGGCGAGAGAAAACTCTCCTGAAGATATCTCCCCACTGCAGGGTATGTACCGCTGGTGCTAAATTTAGCCCTGAGTAGGGTTAATTTAGCAGGAGGTGATCCTTCGATCCATCCTCCCTTAGCGCTACACTGGGAATGAGGCCGCCACCCAGTAATCACTGGATTAGGGTAAATTTCACCACCCTAGACCCAGTCATCAACTGAGGTCAGGAAGGTGGATGGCGAAATAACCCTATTCTCGCCACTTCCTGTCAGGCACTCAACCAGGCTCAGCGTGCCTGATCAATCGCAAACTGATATACTGCAAACACCACTTGTATTCCTTCTTCCCTGCTGGATAGTCACTGGAGATGGAGAACCACCATGGATCTTCTCGCCAGTTAGTGCCAGATGAAGAAGGTGCCCCTGTTGCGCTCAACCCTCTGAGCTCCAATTCCAAGCTCCGCTCTGATACCAACTGTTATGAACTTGGTTGTTTGACAATTTGATTGCCACTCACACACAGAAGAACTCACACACGCCCATACATGCATGAGACAAAGGGGAGGAAGAGACAGAGTCCACCTGCACACAGACCAGAGATAAACAGCAGAATAGCAACCATGCACTACACACAGTGTTCTCTCTCTCTGATGAACTCCCAACAACCAATCACAGGATGACACTGCGAAGATCACAATTGGAAAGTAACCAAGATGATGAGCCAACTCAACACAGTTTACCTCAATTATCGTAACAGAGTTCAACCCAGTATCTCGCCACTCAAGAACCACACACTCCACTCACTACTACACTCTCAGAGTCTAGCGCTACACAGTAACATCCTCCCAGAGGCCAGCGCCATACACCCAGATGCAGATCATGAACAGCGAAGTAGTCTCCAATGCCGATGAGTCACTCTGACGATGAAGAAGGCAGCTATGGCTGCCTAGCTGCTACCGCAGCACTAGTACCCCACATGTACTCAGTGAAGACCTCCGATATAGTCCTGCCAGCGCAGATATCCCCAGGGGATAGATGCGCTGAGTACAGCCCCAGCTATGGCTGTCTGAGAAGGCTGGCTATGGCTGCTCCAATGCGCTGATGTCTCAGGTGCCGCTGTAGGYATTCAGCGCTGCACAACTTGGTTGGCCCCGAACGCTACACGCGAAAAATGAGAAGCCAAAAGTCCCTAACTCTCGGTCCTACTCTACCTATAGTTTTCGGCCTAACCTACTGGTCCGAAACTACTACCGGTACCATTGCCCTAAGGGCCTACCCGGCCTCTACAGCAGTCCTACAGCACTTAGGGCGCAGTGCCCCTTAGGGCCTGCAAACACTCAAACGCTACCGCTGTTAATTCTATTCTATTTTTAGAACAGCGGACAGCCCTCGGTGCGACCACAGAAAAACACAGCAATCACACACTAACAAACATGCCGCAAACTCAGCAGGCAAAACCACACCGTAGTGTACAACCCCGCAGACAGATACGGCAGCGAACAGCAAGTCATTACATTCTTACCCCCCCGTGGAGCGAGGACATCCGAGCTAAGGGTGGAGACGAGGAGATCGGCGAGGGAGATTACCCTTTTGAGCCGCCTCGTATCTCAAAACAACTGACTTGGCTGTCTTGATCAGGTCTCTTCTGTAGAACCATCGGTTCTCAGAAGGAGGCTGAAAAGTGAACCTGACAAGATACTGTCGATCGGGGCCTGTGCCCCACTCGTCCTCAATGGCCACCACATCATATCCCTTACTAGGGATTGGTGGGCCCCATTGAGGAGGCCGGTCAGGGAATGCATCAGCTGGCGTAAAAGGCAACCGCTTGGATGCATGGAAGACCGGATAGGTGCGTAGATGCAGCGGGACGTCGATGACATACGACGGACCGAAGGGATCAGCGCCCACTGTATCTAGGACCTGCCACGGACCCAGTTAGCGCGGCAACAGCTTGGGAGAAATATCCTCCTCCCTCGACAACTCAGAACTGGCCACCCAGACATAGTCACCAGTGCGGATGGGGGAAGGCCGCCTGTGGCGGTTGGCTTGTTCAATCATGGTCTTTTGGGCCTTTGACAAGTTCGCCCGACTCTTTCCACATCCAGACGATAACGTCTGGCGAACTCTGCAGTGCCTGGGGTAAGGTCCGGCTTAGCCTTATCGATGATGTCATTGAGAGGCTGTCGTGGTTCACGTCCCCAATGTAACCGGTAGGGACTGAACCCTGTCGAGGAGTGGACAGATATGTTATACATGAGTTGTGCCCTCGCTAAGAGGAGATCCCAGTCCTGTTGATCAGGAGAGATCACAGGACGTAGCAACTGGAACAGGACCTGGTTCATCACTTCAGCCAATCCACTGGCTTCAGGATGACGACCAGAAGTCATGTCCAGGCGTGAGTGCAGATAGTCCTTGCAGTAGGACTGCCACTCATCGCTGCAGAATCTGGTGTCTCGATCACTCACAATAGAGGTGGGCGGTCCATGGTGTGTGACCCACCTCTCAGAAAAGGTTGCTCTCACAGCCGGTACCCTAGCTACCTCTGGCAAGGGGATGAACTCTACGTATTTGGAAAACCTGTCCACGCAGACCATGACCTGACGCATGCCACGAGGGGTAGTCTTGCCTAAGTCTGTAAAATCAATGGATACAGACTGGGCAGGACCATCAGGTATGGGCAAAGGTTTGAGCAATCCCAAAGGAGGTTTACGTTGAACCTTGTTCCTTTGGCAGAGCTCACAGGTGTCCACATAGCGCAGCATATCACTCCGCATCTCCTTCCAGAAGAAGCGCTGCGACAGGGCTGCATATGACTTTAAGAACCCAAAGTGTCCACGCGCATCGTGGCACTCTGACATCAGCAGTGTCCTCAACTGCTGATCCTCAGGGATGCACAAGCGCTCCTCTCCTCTGCTGTAAGTGTACAACAGATCTGAACTCAGGGCATAGCGAGGCTCAGAATTAGGATCTGCTTGCAGATTCCTGACGACGGGTCCATAAGTCGGATCCTGAGGCAGCAAACGAGCAATGGTCTGACGGGCCCCTCTCCAAAGGAGTGAGTAGAGGAGATCAACGCAAAAGAGTCAGGCCTACGAGAGAGGGCATCTGCTACCTTGTTGTAGCAGCCCTTCTTATGTTTCAGTTCAAAGCCAAACAGATCAATGAACTGAATGTAGCGTGCCAGTTTGTCATTCAACTCTCCCTGGGACTTCAACCACTGCAGGGGGGAATGATCAGAAAAGATCTTGAAGTGCCTGCCCAGGAGAAAGTGCTTCCAATATTTCAGGGCACTGACAAGAGCATAGAGCTCTTTCTCGTAGGTAGAGTCCTGAAGCTTCTGAGTTTTGATCATCTTACTCATAAACTCTACACGTCTCAGACCATTACCATCATCCTGCTGAAGGACCGGCCCAAGGCCATACTGACTGGCGTCAGTGGTGAGAACAAATGGTAGAGTGGGGTCAGGCAACTTCAGAACAGGCGCACGAGTCAAGGCCTGTTTGAGTCGTGCAAAGGCCATCTGACAGTGGAGAGACCAAAGAAAGGGAGTGTCTTTCTTTGTGAGGTTAGTCAGGGGCGCCGCCACTGCAGAAAAGTTCCTGACGAACTTTCTGTAGTAGGAGGCCAGACCCAAGAATGACCGGACATCTCTCACTGTCTGAGGCTGTGGCCAATCCTGAATAGCAGCAACCTTGGCTGCTTCAGGGGCCAAACCATCTCCAGAGATCACATGACCCAGATAGATAACAGAGGGAACTCCAAAAGAGGACTTCTCCCTGTTGATCTTATACTGGCTGTCACGTAATGACTGAAGGACCAGAGCCAGGTGCTCCGCATGTTCCCTGACAGTCCTACTGAATACCAGGATATCATCCAGGTCAACAACCATGAACTTGTCCAGGTACGGCCTGAATATGCGGTGCATCTCAGTCTGGAATGTGCTAGGTGCATTGCAAAGTCCAAATGGCATCACCAGGTACTCATAAGTACCATACCTGGTTTTGAAGGCCGTCTTGTGGACGTCCTCCTCTGCCATCTCAATCTGGTGATAACCAGATTTGAGGTCGACTTTGCTGAAAATGGTGCAGCCTTGGACCATATCCAGAAGGTCATCGATCCTAGGAAGTGGCTCGGTACTCTTCCTAGTGATCTTGTTGAGACCCCTGTAGTCGATGCACATTCGGAACTCGCCACTCCCCTTTGGAACAAAGAGGACTGGGGCACCGAATTCAGAAGTGTTGGGCCTGATCCAACCCTTGCTGGTCAGGGTCTCAAGCTGTCGCCTGAGCTCCTCGAGCTCAGCAGGTGACATCCTGTAGATGCGGCCCTTGGGAGGGACCGCTCCAGACAGCAGCTCAATGTGATGCTTGGTTGGCCGGTTGGGTAACCCAAAGGGCTCCTGCATCAGATCAGCGTACTGGTCCACAACCTGTTGTATCTCAGGAGGACAGGGAATAGAGGGAACGTCTGTCTGCTTGACCAGAGCTATAAACAGACGCTCATGGTCATACTGGCGAGAGAGAGCGTAGAACTCTCTCGCTCTCAAGCAGAAGCAGGAAGTCTGAGGGTGGTGATCAGCTGCAATCATGCAAGGCTGATACACCCCCTTGCTGTTTGGCAGTTCAACCTTGGGGATCTGCCAGTCAATCCTTGGGTTGACTGCTCTCAGCCACTGCATAGAGAACACAAGGTCAAAGGGTAGGTCAGGGAAGATGTAGAAGTTCAGACTGTGTCTGACTTCTCCTGCGCTGTCGAAGGTAACAGGGATGCCCCTGACCTTCTCCTTGATAGTTAGGACAGTGGAGTCCCCTATGCGGACCTGCAGCGGTTGCTGCAGCTGCACCACTTTCATGCCCAGATGCAGTTTTTGGACTGCACTGGGAGACATGAAGTTGCGAGTGGCTCCACAGTCTAATAGCCCTTTGATCCTGCGATGGTTGATCAGGGGCCGAAGCAGGATGAGATCAGACTTGTTCTGCTTTTGCTCTTTCAAGTGAAAGAAGAAAGCAGCAAGAGCCTGACACTCAGACTGGTCCGGTTCCTGATCCGGGTCAGGATCCTCATAGGTTAAGGATGTTGCTCGCGCAGCTCCCACGCTGGATGGGAAGGAGGAAGTCTCAACTGAAGCTGCTGCAGCTGCTGACGCAGTTGCAGCACTGGAGGGAACTGCTGTCTCCAGGTTCAGCTTCAGTTTTTTGACTGAGCTGGGCTTGGCATGTAGGGACAGTCCTTCAAGAAGTGCTGTCCCTCACACCTCAAGCAGACACCTCTCTCCTTCCTCTTCCTCCACACTCCCTCCTGGATCTTCAGATCGTGCCATGGGAGAGTGTTGGGGTTCAGAGGGTCTGCTGGGAAGTGGACGTCGCGTGGCAGATTAGGGCGCCCGGCAGGGGTTGAAGAGCGACGTCCCTGGCTCTTCCCCTTGCTGCTGGAGGCTGTGCTGGAGGCAGATCCGGCCTTTTGGAAGGCCCCCAGCGCAGCCTGCAGCTGCTGGACAACTGCTGCAACATCTGAAGCAGCAGCTGGTGCAGTCCCACCTGGCGGTGTACCAGGCCGGGATCCTGCATCAGATGATGTCCCAGAACCCGCATAGGTAAAGGCCGCCTTTCCCTTTCTACCACCGCGAGGGAAGGCGCCTCTCCTCCTGTCACTGGAGGGGGCCTGGACATGAAGCTTGGCTTCCATGTCCAGTGCTGCACGTCCAAATGAGCGCCAGTCTTTGTGCCCGACGCTATACAAAGCAACACAAAACTTTTCAGGCACAGCCCTGCAAAAGTTAGTCAACAAATCGTCTGCAAACATAACCAATCCAAGGGTGGAAGTCAGCTGTTCAAACTCAGTGAACAGCGCCTGAAGACTGCCGCTATATCGCTGCTGGCCCAGGCGTACGATCCGGTCAGCAGCCTTGCGTGCTCTCTCTTTGTCTGCAAAGCGATCTTCCAGGGCCTGCAAAAGTTTGTCAGCCCCCAGTGCCAATGCCCAGTCCTCCAATGTCTGCTGCTGGGCAATTGCTGTAGAGGTAGCCCATTTCTGGGCTGGCCCCTCCAGCAGACCCACAACAGTAGCCACCTTTTGCTGCTCTGGGCACTGGAACCCTTTCAGATAGGCCCGGGTTCCAGCTGTCCA